ATTTTCCCCATGATCCCATATGATTCAAGGAAAGTAATCAACATGAAAGTTGTAGAGGATGTTTCAAGCTTTCCAAAATCTCCAAGAGCAAGAAAATATAATGCTTGAGCTAGGAGAATCGAAGAGATGATGCTAGGCATTCACACTTGAATTAGAGGTCCATTTTGTAACAAGTTCTTGACAAATCTCCAAGCCTTACCAAGATATCACAATTTTCAGGTCATTTGACTTGTACATCTTACCAAAAATAAGTGTTTACGCAGCTAATTGATGCATTATCCAAGTGTTCCAAGCTTTGTCCAAAAAACAATGCCATTTTGAGAAGAAAGGCACCACTTCCATTTTGATAAAGATAACTTTAATCATAAAGTCCACTCCTTGAGCCCATACATTGTTTCTCATGATCAAAAAACATCTCATCACCAAGAAGAAACCATCTATAACCTACAAGCAACCCTAAAATCAGGCCATGCTCACATTGGAACCATGAATTTAATGTACCTTCACTTATAATCTAACTAAACCAACTTTTGATTGAGAGCTCCATTTGAACTGATTTCTTCTATCACAAACCAGAAATATTTCCTATAAATAGAAGGCCATGCTTTTGAATGAAGACACACTTAAACTCTCCAACTCACTATCTCACACAAAGGTGATTTTCTACAAAAGTCACAAACTTCTAATTTTTACAAATCTCTCAAGTCCTTTGCAAATAAATCATTCAAATACTTTCCATACATCATATAGAAGCTATTGTAACTCAGATTGCTTATGTAACCACCCGATTGACACCTCTATTTTCCACTTTTTGAGCTTGCAGCTTGAGTTGATTAGAAGGATAGAGGCAGTTCTAAAGCAAGCAAAGCATTCTAACACATTCATTGAGGTCCCAGGAAGATTTTTGCATCATTATACATATCTCAAAGTCACTACAATAGGCATTGGACCTTTTCCAATATGTAATCTTTTCTCAAACTTGAAACTTGTCATAAATGCATCTTTAATGTCTTGTTTCTGAAGAAAAAGTGTAGATTATAATGTGTTAAAACTAAACCTTATGCTAATTGTCATGTATTTTGGTTGTGTGTGAAGTTCTGATCAACTGAATTTTTTAGGGTTTTCTAGTTTTCATTCAAAACTTTGAGTTACAGTCCATTTTAATTTGTGTTGATTACATTTTTGGTTTGCCTGTGAAATTTAGAGCAACTTTGATGTTTACATCTTTTAAAATGATTGAGAATTGAGAAAGTTTGAAAAATGTCCATTGATGTTGTTTGTTGCTGCTTCGCGAGGAAGAAGAGAGTGGGGCATGCAAATTCCATTTTCAAATATTTGGTTTATTTCATATTTAATACAACACATATTATTAACGGATGAGAGCGTAGTACCACTGGTGAAGGAGTTTGTGTGTGTACCATAAAGGCGAGGGTTTGAACCAATGTGAACCCCACCTTTTCATTTTTCCCTCATTTTTTTGTTCTGTTACACATTAAGTGATTTATCTCAAATATTATTTATTGAACTTGTGTTTATAACTCCACAAGTGTCTGGCCTGATGGTTAATGTTTTGATTGGAAACCCCCAAGTCCTGAGTTCAAGCCTTGGCATACCCTTTGCTTAATTTTTACCACTTGTCTTTTTTAGTTTGTTTTACCATTTTCTTTCAATTGATTCAATGAGTAAATCAACTTATTTTGGGCTTATTTTTTGTACACTCTTCATTTATTACCTCTACTTTGTGATTATATGAAAAATCCTAAAAAATAATATTTACCTTATCCACTTTTATTTAAATTAAAAATAGTCCTTTTTAGGTGTTTTAAAGACTTTTTGTAAATGTTCTTTTTGATTTATCCCCTTGCTTAATTGATCATTTGTGTTCATGTGGCTATAGTATGCTTTGATTAGGATTCATTTGATGTTGATGACATGATTAATTTGGTACACTTTTGATTTTAGTATGGTTTAATGAAAAAACTATCTTTTAAATATCTTTCAAAACCCTAATTTGCTTTTGGTGCTTTCCCTTTGTTTTTGATAAATGTCTTACGGATACTCATTTGTTTCTACCATGATAAATGTCTTGATATGGTTACCATGAGTTAAATCCTCTTTTGATTGCACATTCATGTATGCTCATAATTTTGATACCACGGCTTCTTTAAACTTTGATGCTTATCTTGTTTGAATTCTTTTGGTGTTTAAATTTCATTGTTGATATGATGAGATGATTGTTTGCTTAGCCATGTACCTTGTATGTTTGTTTAGATGTCTATGTTATCCATGGTTGTTTGTTTAAAAAAGCATGGCTATGTCTTCTATCTTTTATCTACTTGATAATATGATGACTTTCCCTTTTGATTGATACTTGTCTACCTTTGATTTAGCATTTTTCTTAAATGACTCTCTTAAAATCCATAGTACTTTGTGACCTTATCCTCCCATGTATGATGTGTTTCCTCTCTTGTTAGTGATTAATGTTTATACTTTCATTGTGTTAATACCTGTGTTAAATCCAAGGAAAAGGAATAATATTGTTGACTTTAGGTTTACCCTTATATGTTTACCCTATGTATTCTTATATACTCTAAAACCTTTCGTACTTAAACCTTAATCCCATTTTCAAACTTTAACCTCTTTCATAAGAAACCTTTACTTTGTGTCATTGCATTTTCAAAACTTTATTTTCTTTAATAGAAGTTTCAATATACTTTAAGCATATCAAAATAATTTCAAAAGACTAAAAGTGATTCAACCTCAGCCAAATCTTTTTGCCACTTGGATTTTTTTTTTCAATTTAAAACTTTTCTGAAAAAAATTAGAAATAAATCCTATCCATAGTTGAGATGTAATTCTCTTATCCCCATAGTAATGATTGAAGTAAATGTTGATTCTTTCCACATGAGCTAGTAGCAAGTTGTTGATCTTATATCCAAGTTAGTAGCTCTTTCCTCATGATGATGAAAGATCCATCTTCTCATACTTGTGATGGTATTAGTTAAGTATTCTCTTTAAGATGATAAAATATCTCGTCTCCTAAAATCAACCACAACAAACCCTTTTGTTATTTATACCACGAACTATGAGGTTTTGATCTTCCATTGGTACGTAGGTATAAGACTATGTCTTTCCAAACAAAAATATCCTAAAATATATTTATTTTCCCTTATACGCATTCATTTAGAAAACAAACAATTTTAACCAAAAAAAAAAGATATTATAAGAGGTTCATATAGAGTACTATAGATACATAGGATGTTAATACCTTCCCTTTATATAATAAACCCCCGTACCTTAGATCTCTTATGTATTTCTTTGTTTTTAGTATTTACTTCTTGCATTGCATATTAAACAATAGGGTTTTGATGTTTTCCCTTTTCCCTTTTCCTTGGAAACAATAAAGTTTAGTGGTGACTTCTTAAAACTTTGTGAGTCAAGTTTCTCAATAGCTTGGTCTCCTGATTTTTAACCGCGACAGAAATGGAGACTTCACCAAAGACATTTCCCCCAAGAGGGTTAAACCTAACTTCTTTTTATCTATTTTAATATTATTATCTGTTTGTTCTATATGATGTTTTGTGATTCTTTGGGGGGGAATTAGTGTTTTGTACAAAGGATAAGTCCTACACCCGAACTGAAGTTTACACTTAAAATTAGGATAGTGGTATAATCAAAAGTTACATGAATGGAGTAATCCTGACATAAGTAGCATATGATAACCCCACTGAGTGGAGGCCTACTTGGGGGTGGTAATTATAAACAAGCTAGCTATTAAAGCATTACTACTTTCAACCTGAGTGTCCGCGAAGTAGAGAATAGTAGAACCCTTAACCCTTCTTGGAATTTAGGATGTAGTGCGGTGACAATTCAAAAGTAGTCTTGAATTAGTCATTACATGATACTACGCTCAGACGAGTTTTTCTTGATAATATTATTGGTACTCACAAGTAGTTGTGTAAATTCGTAATATCCGAAAGAGGAATCACGACTTTGAGAACTTTTAGAACCTTGTTCTACAAGTATAATAAACCCATAGTACATACCTTGTGGGGTGGTTCTTACCATTGGCTCTAATCTCGTATTGTTAAACCCTTAAACCATGTTTATGATAATTGCATAACCATGCATTCATAAAGAGAAACATACCATCCTTTGCTTCTTTAATGTTTACTCCACTCATAGGTCTCCATATATATATATATATATATATATATATATATATATATATGATTCTTTTCTTGGACGACTAAAAGTGAATTGCTCTATCACAAAGGAACTTTCCCACAAAGCACCATTTAAGATCACTATTTTTCTCTCCATCTTCCTCCAAATCAAAGCAAAAACCCTCTTCCTCGCCATCTTCACTGATAGACAGATTCTCCAAACCTTATGTTGTCATAATGCTCTAATCTCTCTCGGTACAGGACCGCAAGAACTAGAAAAAGAATCAAGACTTCTCACAAGAGAAGAAGAAACAAAACCCTAGCAGAACCCTAAGTAAAACGCTTTAACTTTAATTATCAGTTTAGCTTAACATGTTATTCATCTATTTTTTATTGGTTTTGGATTCATCCTTAGGCTCCAATTTCATTATTAGAAGATTAAGTAATATAGTTACCACAGTGGTAAAAAAGAGTAATATAGTTACCATTAAGTTCTTTTTTTTTATCAGCACCGCCAATGAATGCGCACAAGTAATAATAAGTTTTTTTGCACAATTTTTTTTATATTGACAACTAACCATAATTCAAACTAAAATCATAACTCATTCTTATTTCGTAAAACCATCTTAAAAATACCTTTATCAATCAATTCAATATAAATCTAAATAAAATCAATCAAACCAAAATTATCGTAACAGATTATATTTTGATTTGTTACAAAAAAAATCAAAATTTTAAACCTAATTGGTTTCTATATAAATTCATCACCCCATTATCTCTTTAACTTACTATCTTTTCTCTCTGAACCTTCTCACTCTCCTTTTCTCGATAACTATGGCTGAACAAAAATCACAAGAAACACAGTCAATCACATTGAAATCATCTGATGGTGTTCTATTCGACGTGGAAACAAACATTGTGAAAGAGATGAAAACTATACAGTCATTCATGGATGAGTCCGAAGACATTACAACGATTCCTTTAGCCAATGTATTGAGTCAACATCTTGCAACGATCATTGAGTACTGCAAGAAACATGTCTCAGAAGACGAGACCAAAGATGCAAAAGACAAGTTTGATGTTGAATTCACAAAAGAATTGAGCGGCGAAGACATGAAACTTCTCTTCCTCGCTGCAAATTATCTAAACATAAGAAGTCTTCTTGATTTGCTAGCTGGTGCCCTTGCGGATCATATTAAGAACAAGAGCGTAGAGTTTGTGCGTGAATTTTTCAATGTTGAAAACGACTACGAGCCTGAGGAAGAAGCCAAGCTCCGCGAGGAGAATCAATGGGCTTTTGGAAATATAGATGAAAAATAATTTTTTGAGATGTTTCTGAATATGATTTAGGAAGTTTATAGTTTCTTTAAGATATAAGAAATTTAGTATTTCATCTTATTTAATTTGTATAGGAATATTAATATTGTAATTTTGCTTTGTTGATTTGAAAGTATTTCTTGTTTCTACTCTTTACTTCCTTATTTTACAAAGTTTAAAACTATTGCAAATCAAATCTGCTTGATCATCTTGAATGTTTAAATTAGCACTTTTATTATTATTTTTGATGGTGTGAATGTCCACTAATTACTATACTTATTTGATAAGATATACCATTGTAAATTTAAGTGTGGTTGAAAATAGTGACAAAATTTTGAACAAGGCCGAAGAGATGAAATTGTAAATTCAATTGTTTCTTCTGTTATGATTGGTCTACAAGTGATAAAATAAAAAATAAAGCGTATTTGATTCAACTATTAATATTGATTTGGAGGTTTGCACACAATTTCGTAAATATTGAATTTGGTCAAGTGAAAGTTTCGAAGAACGGTGAATTTTGTCGAAAGAATAGTGTGAGACGATGAATCATATGAAAATTTTGGGATACAATAACACGCAATTGAATTCGGTCGATTGGAAGTTTCAAAGAATGAGGATTCTTGCAAAGGAGTAACGTGAGAAGGTGAATCAATTGGTGTTAACGGGATACTTGGTCGAGCTCAAGATCAAGGGAAGAGAAAGGGTTTAAAATCAACATTAAACAATGGGTTTATAGGGTTGCATTGCTACATTTGTCTTGTAAACAACTTTTTGCAAAGTAAAATTGATTATCTTCTAAACGAAATTAGGGGTAGACGTAGTCATAGCGAGGATGATTGGTGAATTGTCTAAACAAACTTTTTTGTCCTCTCTCTCTCTCTCTCATTTACTTTCTATAGCAAATTGTTAAATTCATTGATTGCGTAATTGATACGTATAGACAAATCCTTTGATTATTAGAATTGAAATTTCTTTGTTGATTACTGTTGTACCCCAAAATTTGCCCTCTCATTTTTCTTCAAGACTTTCTTCTAAATATCTCAAAAGCTCAAATACAACATGTTGACCTAATTGCATGGCTCAAGACATTTCTCAAGATCAATTGATTGATAAGTGAAATTCAGTGTATAATGAAAAGTTAAACTTTGACTTTTTGATCAAATTTGAGTTTCAAAGATCACATTTCATCAAGACATTCAAAATATAAAATTTGATCATCAAGAAATCAAGAAAGTCAAAAGTCATTTTGAAAAGTCAAACTTTGCAAGACTTAGAAATTTTTCTAAGTGTTTTTTATACATGTTAATTTCATTACTTCATGACATCTTTTCACCATAATTCAAGATTATTCAAGTTGTTACAAGTTTTCAAGTAATCAACAAGGCTGCATTTTTAAGTTAAAAATTGCAAGTTACAAATCCTAAGCTTTGTCTTGTTTTAACTTTTCTCTTTGGCTCAATCTTTAAACTTTGCCACTATGCTATCCACAAATATGCCTTGTCTTTGTTACAAGCTGCATAAATTTGTCCATAAAATTAGACCTGCATCATGCTACATATCTTGCTATCCAAAATCCGCATAGTAATGCCAAGAAAACTGTCACAACCTGCTACAAAACCTGCAATGCTGTCCTTAAAAATCTGTATCATATCAGTCTCATATTTGCACAAACCTAGCACATAAGAGCTGTATCTAAAAAGAAATAAAAGAGTGTACCCAAACAGTTCAAAAACTTATTTATTTCCCTTCAAAATTTCAGTCAATTTCATATATAAATAAGATGTTTCACAACACACAAATGAGAGGTTTTTGGAGGGAGTTTTTGAGAGAAAAGAGGGAAGAGAAAAAAGAAGATTTGGAAAAACCTAACAGAATTATTTGTAAACTTGACTCATCTACTTTCATTCACAAAACAAAAACTGAGAAATATAAAAAACCTCAACCCACTGTTCAACCTTGCAAGTTTTCCCCTAAGCCAACTATCCAAACACTTCATATACATCACATAGAAATTGTTCGAACACAAGAACAATTTCTGTAATACCATTATCATCATCTTCCAAACACAAACAAAAATAGTATTTTGAAACTTAACTGGGTTGGAGCTGTTGTACCCCAAAATTTTCCCTCTCATTTTTATTCAAAACATACTCCTAGAGGTCCTCAAGTGCTCAAGGTTGACCAAGAATTAACCAGACAAATTCTCCTCCTAAGCAATGGATCTCCAACTAGAGTTTCATTTTTCACAAATAAGTTTGGGTTTTAAAGTCCTCAAATTATTTCCATGGTTCCTAATATCTCCTCAAGAATTCTCATACAAATTTTCATGTCTTGCATTACAAGTTTGCTCAGTCAATTGCTCAGATGATTGGAAGTCAATTATATTAGGTCAAAAGTCAATTATGGTCAATATACAGTCAAACTTCAAAAATTTTGGTCAACATCAACATTTTGAGGTGATATACATCATTTGATCAAGGGTTGATCATGATTCCTCAAGGAATGCTCTCAAATCATCAAGAACCCAAAATTGCAAAATTAGGGTTTCCTAGGAAAAGTCAACTGAACCTTGACCAAGCATAACTTTCACATGTTTTATCCATTTTGCCCCAACCAAACTTATTGTAAAGAAAATTCAATTCCCTACAACTTTTCTTTTATCCTCAAGTTCAAAAAATGCATCATTAGAAAGATATGAGCCAATACATTACATGTCTTTTTGAAAGTCAATAAAAATGCATTTTTTGTCAAGACAAGTTAAATCAAGATAATTTCTCCAAATTAAAAAAAGGTCAACATGGATATTATAGGGGACAACTTTATCTTTCTAAAAAGTCAAATATCATCTCCAAAAGATAAAAATTGAGCAAGTTATTACCAATACAAATTATGCAAATTAGTGAAAATGCAAAATGCCAACTTTGAGCAAAAATGCATTTTTAAGTTCATAGAACTATTTTGTGGGATTCAAATATGTTTATGACTTACTCAAGTACCCCTAAATTTACTCTCACATTGCTTTGCATTTTTTCTCTATTTTATTCATATATATTTTATTTTTATTCAAATAAACACAAAATAAATTGCATAAAATAATAAATAAAAAGTATGGACACATGGGCTGGTGATTTGGGTTGATATTGGGTCTTAGAATTCGTGCAATGCATGAGGAAAAATACCAGGTTCAATGTATGACAAGAAGGGAAAGAAATCATCAAATATGACAATTCTTCAAAGTCTTGATTTTTGCTTCCAAAACCATGATCAATGCATGGATTCTTGCCATGTTTATTCACATTTTCGTTCCTCTATAAATATACAAGCCAACCATAAGCCAAGGATACAAAATCATCACTTGGAAAAGCTCTCAAAATTTTCAAAATTGTTCAAAGGTTGTGAAAATTCAAAACCTGATTTCCAGCCTTCCTCCATCCAATCTCGTGCCATCACTATGCCGAAAAAGACTTACGAAAGAGCTTTTTTTGGCCTTTAAAAGCGCTTTAAAGCGCTTTCATAGGTGGCGCTGCTATAGGTTTTAGCAGCGCTTTTTGTTTAATGAAAAGCGTTTTCGTAGGTCTACCTAATACAACACTTTTTCTAAAAAGCGCTCTCTTAAGTAATCTTTTGGCAACGTTTTTTTTATGAAGAAGCGCTTTCATAGGTCTACCTAAGGCAGCGCTTTTTTCTGGAAAAGCGCTCTCATAAGTTTTCTTTTAGCAGCGCTTTTTTCTAGAAAAGCGCTGTCTTAGGTACGCTTTTAGAAACACTTTTTTTCTGGAAAAGCGCTTTCATAGGTGGTCTTTTAGCAGCGCTTTTGCCTGGAAAAGCGTTGTCATATGTTTACCTTAGACAGCGCTTTTTGTGAAAAAGCGCTTTCGTAGGTTATCTAAGGCAGCATTTTTCTTGAAAAAACGCTTTCATAGGGTGTTTTTTTTAGAGGTATAAATTATATAATTCATATACCTGCATTGTTTGCAGCATATTATTTATATAAACCAGTTGCCATAACCTGTAATTCATAAACCACGGTAATGCATTGTATACCATTGTAATCCAAAATATATATACACCATTTTTGTACCTCAAAATATATAAAAACCATTGTTATCAGCATTGTAACTCAAAATCAGTCTTACAAAATCAACCATAACAACAACTAAACCAGTCCTAATGTATGAAAGAAACACGGTAAATTATGTATTAAGGTCCTGGTCCTGCGAGGTTTGAACATAATAACACGGTCAATATGGTATTCCATGTACACATGTAACGTATTCATAACACTTTTCACATAATAATGTATTCATACCTTATATGATTCTCTGCTCAATAAAATATTGACACAATTCCTCTTTGATTTCTTCCAACTGAAGTTTCGTGTAATATGCACATTTGTATTCATCGAAGTACTACATAACAAAACATAATATGCATGATTTAGTTAAAAGTAAAAAATTATATGAAATATCCGAGAAATAATAAAATAAATCCTAAGTTATAAATCTATACCATGACTGGAATCTCTATTTGATTCAGTTGAAGGATTTCTTTGATAAACCGCATAACGAAGTATCCACAATCTATACCGTTTTGCTGTTGAAGACACTACATAGAAAAACAAATAAGAATATATAGTTGTATTGTTTTATCAAATAGCATAAATATTATAAGCAAAATAGTGGAAATTAATATACTTGCACTTTGATCCAATTAATGTTGTTTGATTTAGACCGTCGTACCCGAGCTTCTCTTTGACACCAGAATACTTGTATCGCTCTAACAAAATAAAAATATATATTTAGAACAATGTCACAGAAATAATTAAATATATAAATACACACAAATATTTAGAATAATCTCACTTACGTATCAATCATTAACTTCATATCCGGATAATTTGTCCAATCACTGTCAACCGAATTCAGATAATAGACCGCTTCTTTTATAGGATCGACAGCAACCAACAACCAATGACGTCTATAAATTAAATCAACAGTTTAGAAGAAAATTTTCTACGCAAAAATTACAAATATTAAAATGAACTTAGAATGAAAATCTAACCATGTAGGAATAGTATTATACGCCCAAAGATATAAGCTTTCTGTACTGCCAGTTTCCATGAATCTTTCGACTAAGTGCTCTCTTACTAAATCTGGTTCCCTACCAATTGTTGCTCCGCTGACACGGGAGGAAGACACGAAATGGAATTTGTTTGACAATTGATTCCCGCGCATCAATTTGTCATATAACAACCTTAAATAAAAATATAATTAATATTAGACTATATTCATTGAAATGTTTTTAAAAAAATTCATCTAATTACATAATATAAAGATGGGGTTACCGGATGTATGCGTGCATAATACTGACGCCTAATTCTTTATGACAGAAAATCTCTTCCACATCCTCATGTCCAATCATTTCGGTGCAAGGAAAACCAAAGATATCTTGATCCATATCCATTTGACGAATACCACCATCCATAAAATCTGTTGTTCCCACTATTGTTTCAAGACACTGCCGATATCGAGGGAAAAATCTAGTAGAAACCCTTTTCTTGGGTGGTACGCCAACGATTTCTCTCTTAGGAACTTACAAACCATAAGTAGGAAAACTGAGAAATGGTAGCAAAACATAATGGTAGCAACTTAAACTCATCTTTTCATCCAATAACTTCATAAAATAATGAGTTGAACCATCCCTCATGAATACAAAACTCAAACAAATACATGAAAGCAGAGAAATGCAAAAACAGAAGAAAAAAAACACAAATAAAAATGAGAAAATGTAAGTTAGCCTGGAAAGTAGCTGCTACAACAACTCAAAATGAAAAGACATGAGCATATTAGTGGTTTAAGGTATTTGAAAACAAAATACACGTTGAATCATGTGGTGAGACATTATTAGTTATAAAACAATGAAGACACGCGGAATTCAGCCTGGCCATTAAGCACAGTTTAAGGTATCTGAAAATGCTTGATGTAAAGACATACATGCCAGTCAAAATGCACATTTAGTAACTTAAGAGAGGCAATGTAATCATATATCTTACATAAATAATGACTTTTAAAATGAAAATTGCACAACAAAGTGATTTATTAGTAATTGTTTCACTAATTACTGAGTGAAAAAGTAAGTTGTACATTCTATAATATCATCACATGTAGTTTAGCTCTGCATTAAACCTTGTTTCAAACTTATCAACAAACTAAATCAAACTTCCTAAACATATCACATTGAGGTGTTTCTCTGATATATCTCCACTAGCATTGCTGCATCTCAAACTGACAATTCTGGCGAAGAATACCAAAGTATTCTCTCTCAACTCTTTCCTCAATTATAAGACGCTCGCGGCTATCTAAGGGATAATCTTGTTCAAACTTTGTGGACTTAACATAGTAGTTAACCCCCTTAGGGGTAGTAAGCCAGTGTTCAAAGGGATAGTTTTGCGAAAGAGTGTAGACAGGATCTGGCGAAGGCAAAAAGTTAATAAGTAAAATGAGAAGCACAAGAAGCACCTGAATCAAAGCTCGGACATTGAATCTGTCAGGGCCATTATCAGCAGCAGGCTGTCTATGAGCCATCCCCGACCCTACAAAACTAAACCCACAAAAATTAGCAGCATGGGCCATTCCTCCAAAGAAGAAATTCCTAAATATTTCCTCACCTTCAACATCAACATCATAGTAAACATTAAAACCTCTTGCAGAAGTCGGTCTGGCAGCAGCACGCCTTTCATAAACCACTTCATCTTCTCTAGAAACATCATACTTTCTCGCCAAGCAGTATTAAATCAAAGAGAATATGATCATGTGGTTGTATAAATCAAAGACAATGGAGTAAGCTGGTACGAAATCAGTAAAAAAATCCAATATAAAACTTAACAGAATTGACAGGTTCAACTTTTAAGTGCAAAAATGAAGTGTAATCATCATAACCTACAAAGAAATACATTCCATATACACAGTTCAAATAAGCTTATAGACATTATAAATATAATGAAAAGATTTAGAAGTTCATTAAGTGGCTTAATCGAAAAGCAATCCCGGGTTTAATGAAGCGGTAGCATTCACAAAACCGCTTCCCATGTCAAATTGAGTTGCTGGAGAGGGATACAACCGCTGAGCCATTACTGGCTTCCCATTCAGGAAATCATCTAAAGTAGTTATACATGACGGCTTCTTTTCCGTTTGTTTCCGTTCCTTTCTTAGACACTTTCAATCCATAAGATAAATAAAATTCTGAAATAGCCAGTAAGAATAAATAATATCAAAAACCAAAACTCACGTTTATGACATTCAAACTCTAAATAATTTACTGAAACTAAATGCTCAATCTATAACAGATCTTTGTTTGCACATATCTAACTCACTTGAACATGGTACTTGAAAACCTTAGATCTAGATCCAGATCCAGTTTCTTCACCATCGAACTCATACGTGTGACACTCTCCATTATTTCTCTCTTAGCATGTTACTCTCCATTATTTCTCTCTTAGCATGTTACTTATATGCATAACTTCTTAATAACTTCTATGACAGTAGAAACCATGCTTGATCAAAATCATTAACCAAACAAAAGCACACGAAAACCAGACAAACACATACGAGATGAGGAAAAAAATGAAACCTGATACGAATTGCAGTTAGCCGGAGAAGTGGAGCACCGTTGACCGCCGTAGAAGCTCTGGTTTAGGGTTTTTTCGTGAAGAAAATCTGATTGAGAATAGAAAAGTGATACGAATTGTGTTTTGATATTTATTATAAAACTACCTACGAAAGCGCTTTTAAAAGCGCTTTCTAAAGATCATCTATAACAACGCTTTTACATCAAAAAGCGCTTTCGTAGCATATCCTATAGCAGCGCTTTTCAAAGCGCTTTCTAAAGGCCAGCTTTAGCAGCGCTTTGGAAAAGCGCTTTCTAAGGCTGACCTTTAGCAGCGCTTTTGAAAAGCGCTTTCTTAAGGTACCCTCTGAAAGGCCAGCTTTAGCAGCGCTTCCCAAAAAGCGCTTTCTAAGGGTGACCTTTAGAAGCGCTTTTGAAAAGCGCTTTCTTAAGGCACCCTTTGAAAGCGCTTTTTTAAGCGAGTTTTTTTTAAAACCTAGAGCAGCGCTTTTTTCCAAAAGCGCTTTCTTTTATTTGCTGCTAAAACTTATTTTTGGCGTAGTGCATCTTTGCACTCATGAGGTCCCCAGGAATCATTTCCATCCCTCACCTTTGACCTAAAGCGCGCCCGAGTCGGCCATACAAGTTGCACCGTTTGGTATAATTTATTTAAATCTAATCTCGTTAATCTGCATTTATTAATCCATTTTATGTTTGCATACATGTTTGTAGTCATATATAGAGAAGGTTGGACGTGAATCATGTAAGTTTTGAGGCCTGGTTCATGAGATGCCATTCTCAACCCTGATCGGAAGCTTGGCTTCGAAACGAAAAATTCAGAGAGCTTCAGCAAAAACTAACACCGAATTTGGACTCATCGCATCATTTTAAGGGGGGCAGGGGTATTTGGATCCATTGATTTTACTTATTTTGCAGGTTAGGGCTTGGAACCCACCGGAGAAGACAACTGGAATGTTGACTCCGGTGGGTTGACTCTGGTGAACATCGCGTCATCTTCTCATTGACTCGTTTGAATAAGCAGCACGCGCATTTTATTTTTTTCATATTTCTGACTGATTTAACATATATTTTTTTTCTGTTTATATAAATTAACAAATGAATAGATGGCCTGCTGGTGAGAAGCGCGTGTGTATGTCTAAAGGGCCAGGGTTCGACCCCATGTTCTGCATTTTGTTTTTTCAATATGTTCTTTTTTTGCAGGTTTCTGAAGCGCCTGAGCCTTCAAGTAGATGGGCCTAGCAAAATTTCAATCTCACCCCCCCAAATTGCTTCAACAACAGCAGGCCCAAATCTCCTATTTCATTTTCTTTTTATGTTTTAATTATTTTGTTTCTTTTAAATCTTTTTTTATTTAATCAGGAAATCATAAAATCATAAAAAATATTAGGTTCAGTTTCTTTTTTCTTTAATTAAATCTAATTTTTTTAAATTAGTTTATAATCATCCTAAATTTTTTTATTTAATTTAAAATCAATAGACTTAGGATTTAATTAAATTCAAATCTCTTCTCAATAATAAAAATACAAAAATATTAGAATTAAATTCCTTTTTTAGGTTTATTTTTAATCACTTTTTATTCTTATTTGTTTAATTTTAATTCAAGTATTTTCTTAAAAAAATAAACAAAACAACCAAAAAGAATTCTCTTAAATTACTTAGGCTTTTTAGGATTTTCAAACTTCCTTCTTTTTTTTAATCCGAGTGTGTTTAGTTCTTTCGCATTATTACCTTTTAGTAATGTATCTGCCCGATTTTGTAATAGTTTAAAAAACTAGGATTTTATTTGAAGATGTGAAAAACACAAGAAGGGGGAGTTGAATTGTAAAACTTAAAACAAATGCTTAGACAACACAGTATTTTTATCCTGGTTCGTTTGATCTCAAACTACTCCAGTCCACCCGTCAAGGTGATTTCGCCTCTCTCCAACGAGGTCTTAATCCACTATATTCAAAGGATTACAACAACTACTTTAACAACTGTTAAAGCCTTCTTGAGTATAACCACAAACCGGTTTATCTCAAGGAAATCTTTTACAAATAGAATGAACAATGATGTCTTAATGTTTTCTAATAAAACAATATATCACAACTGTGATAATTACACAACTTAAGCTTGGAGTAAAACTGAATTTGCTAAAGCGTTTGAGTAAGCGTGGTTTTGAAGGCTTGGCAAATTATGTGAGTGCATGCGTGCGTCTTTTCTCAAGCAGACTGGTTATATAGGCAAGGCAGAGATACGTTGTCCATAAAGCCATTTTAATGATAATAACGCACTTTCCTTCTTGAGAAGATCTTGTCTTGAAGAGAGTCATTAGCATTTAATTCTGTCTTGAATACTTAATAATGTTTCAGAGTCTTCTTTGCTTATGATAACGCTTCAGAGTGTTCTTTGCTTTAACTTATGATAACGCTTCTGAGTGTTGATGACTTGGTAAAGATCTTTGATCAGAGTCAGAGTGTATATGTTTATGCGCAGATTCTGGTCATCAAGCTTCAGCGTATGATCTGGTAGCTTTAGCGTGTAACACATGTTACTGATCTTCTGATGTTGACATATTACTGATCTTCTGATGCTGATTCCATCAGAACTTCTGTAAATACAAAACATAATTTTAAGAAGCATATTTGTCTTATATATAAATCTTACAATTTATTTATTCTTTGTATTTTGTTATCATCAAAACTCTAATTAAGGGTTGTAGAATCAAACTATGTTCTAACAATCTCCCCCTTTTTGATGATGACAAAAACCAGATTTTTCAATTAAAATAAAGAATAAAAAGTATAGAATTAAGAAGAGAAAACTCCCCATGAGTTGATTACTTCCCTTTAATTCCATGAGTCTTTGAGCATCATAACTTTACTGTATCTTTCATCAGAGTTTTGTACCTGTAAGCTTTTCAAAAGAGAAAAAAATTTAAATAGATCAGAATGTTTGAAACTTATGTCTCAGTAATCCGTTATTGAAAAATATCATTCTTTCTCCCCCTTTTTGTCAGTTATCAAAAAGAACATAAGATCAGAGCTAAAATGCGTTTATATTAAAAACCATAAGCAATGATAAGTTCAGAACAATGTAAGAAAATTATAGATAAACAAGTTATAAAAACGAGGAATTTCTAAGAAGGAGGAGGTAGACGCGTGAACAAGGTTTCCAATAAGCTCTTGATCTGGATGTTGGTTTCCTGTTGCTGGGTTAACATGCTCTTGATTTCCTCAATTTTGTCGTCCTGTTTATCCATTCTTTCATTCATCAACATATCAGATCTTTTCAGGTCTTCTAGAGTCTTCCTGTCAAGGGAGGAAGCTTGAGAATCTTCAGTAACAGGATGCTTTCCAGAGCCTTATGCAATATCCTTTTCTTGACCCAGTTCTTCAGCAGGAATCATCTGCTCTGGAGTATCAGTCAGATTGAGATCTTCTGACCAGGGAGCAATGTCCAGAGGGAGAACTTCTTCCTTAAGCAGATTGCTCAGAACTGGACCTTCAATTTCTTTCAGCAGATTGCTGAAGTTATGTTGAGCTTGTCCGTAGCTCTGTTCTTGCAACTTATGAGTTTCAGAACATACCCATCTTCTGAACTTTGTCCAAAGGTAGTCTGATGCAGCAGGATTAATCAGCTCAAGACTAGCTTGTTTTAGAGAAGTGATCCACTTCTGTACTTCTGTTTCAAATGTCAATAAGTTGGTACCAACATCTGGAGAGGGTTCAGATGGTTTTGGTTTTGGGATGACTGTTTTGTGGGTTATGGCAGAAAGACGTTCAAAAACCGTTAAATCAATGACAGTCTTGTTGTGGTCATCTGGATTGTTCTTTGGTGAGGGAGTGGGAGAGTCAGGAATTATTATTGGACTTGATGGGGAGTTTGGTGGAGTTGATTCTGGTGAGGAAGGAAGTTGAGGAATATTCAGAATGGTACCAAGGGGCATACGAATGGCCAGAGGTTCTGTGATTCCTGGAATGGGAATGGTATCAGAATCAACAGTTTGGTTTGATTGATCGTTATGAGGTTCTGGTTCATAGGATTCAGAAGGTTGAGCCTCATAAGTTTGAACTTCTAGGTGAGATAGTTCAGGTTGAGGAGAAGGTGGATGAATTTCTGGTTGAGGAGATGGAGGTAGTGGGATTTCTGGTTCTGGAGAGAGGGGAATTTCTGGTTGTGGTGAGAGGGGAATTTCTGGTTGTGCTTCTGTGGTGGTTTCAGGGTTTGGATTTTCTTGCATGGGAGCAGAAGTATGTTGGTCAAAGGTATCTATATCAGATAGAACTTTTGCAAGTTCTTGTTGGGTTGCTTCAATATTTTGATTTGGAGGTTGGGAGCGATATCTTCTAAGAGTTAAGGATTCAGAGGGGTCAAATTCAATGTCAAAGTCATCAAAAGTTTGTGGTGTGGGGTTTTCAGATTGAGTGGGAATTGGTATAGACGTTGATACAAAAATTGAATCTAAAACAGTTACAGAAGAAGGATTACCTCTCTTTTTAGGAGTCTGCTGGGATGATCCTTCTGCTACAGCTTTCCTTTTCTTGGTTTTCTTCAGCACAACTTCTGGAGCCTTCTGCTGCAGATCCTGAATGTTCAAATTTGGTGTTGTACCATCCGCCTTGCAAGCATCCAGATATCTGACTATTATGTCAGGTTTAGAGTCAATCTCTGAGAACAGAGGGAAGTTATCCAGAGGGACTCTTCTGCTGGAGATTGCTGCAAAAGGAGTGACGTTGGGTTCCTTCTTGATGTTCTCAATCAACTTCATTTTCTTCAGATTCTTTGCATTCAGCTGTTTGCCAACAGTAGCTTCCAAAGAGCTGATTTCCTGAGCCTCTATAAGATGA